GTTCACTATTCGGTCCTTCCGTTTTATTCCCAAGTCATGACTCAAGACCAAGGGGAAGCCGGGGACACTGAAGCTATACAACCCAGCAGAAGACATTGATGGTAAAGTTTTTTTGTGTGTGCTTTCGCTGCTCTTTTGCTCTCGTTCTCCCCAGATATGTGTTCTTTCATATCTACGATTCTCTCTCTCTCTGTCTCTCTCTCTCTCTCGCTCACTCTCTTGCTCACTCAGTCACTCCCTCTCTCTCTCTCTCTCTCTCTCTCTCTCTCTCTCTCTCTCTCTCTCTCTCTCCTCTCTCTCTCTCTCTCTCTCCTCTCTCTCTCTCTCTCTCTCTCTATCTTTATCTGTTTATCTATCTATCTACCTCTGCATGTCTGTTTTTCTGCCTCTGTCTATCTATCTACTATCTGGGAACTCCCCCAACACTATCTATCTGTATCATATGATACTATCTATATCACATATTCTTAAAAGAACCTCCCCCACACTATATATTTATCTATATCACATATTCTTAAAAGGAACTCCCTCCACACTATCTATCTATCTATCTATCTATATCACATATTCTTAAAAGGAACTATCTATCTATATCACATTGAATTCTTAAATGGAACTCCCTCCACACTTTCTATCTATCTATATCACATATTCTTAAAAGAACCTTCCCCACACTATTTATTTATCTATATCATATAATATCATGTATTCTGAAAAGGACCTCCCCCACCCTATCTATTATTATTATTATTTTATTATCTATATTATTATTTATTATTATTATTATTTTATTTATTATTATTATTATATTATACGTATTATCTATACGGTAAAAAATCCCCCACGTGGAAAGCACAATGCGGAGAGTCTTTGATGAGAGTTGTCTACGGGATCTTGTGGTGGCGAAGACCTACGATTAGAAAAAAAAAAAAAAAAAAAAAAAAAAAAAAGAAAAAAGAAAGGAAAAAAAACAGAAAAGAGAAAAAGAAAAAAAAGAGAAATGAAAAAGAAAAAAAAACGAAAAAAAGAAAAAATATTTATCTATGAATATATATATATATATATATATATATATATATATATAGAGAGAGAGAGAGAGAGAGAGAGAGAGAGAGAGAGAGAGAGAGAGAGAGAGAGAGAGAGAGAGAGAGAGAGAAAAGCTCCCAGACTATCATAGTGGTAAACCCATCCCTAATGCATCTGATTGGAGACCTGGGATATCGAGCGGCTGTAAGGGGAACGAGCGGATCAGATTCAGAAAACACAGGCCAATTATCTCCCCACAAAGGTATGTCAGGGTAACGACCACCGAGCAGACCGACCGGTGGTCGTTATGCGGAGGATCGAGTGGTGCGCATCTCCTGGCTAGTCAGTCAGGCCATTTTTTATTTATCTGTTTATTTTTATTTTATTTTATTTTTATCTCTTTGAGTGTGTGGCAAACGCAAAAGTGCCGAAGACGAAGTCTCGTAACAAAGCGCCTTTATGCGCGCGCACGCACGCAAGCCCACACACACACACACACACACACACACACACACACACACACACACACACACACACACACACACACACACACACACACACACACACACACACACACACACACACATAGGAAAGAGCGAACCTTTGCAGAACAAACAGGAAATCAAGGCCTTGACAGCACAGCATCAGGCAACATGCAGAATACCAGCATCAGTCACTTCTAATAAATAGGACATGACAAGCATTGGGAATTTCTCGACCCAAAAGAGTCGGAAAAAATGGCGCGGCACTTAGGGTTCAGGCAAAACAGGAGGCGGAAGTAGTCTATGCGGTGATGCTCAGGCCCGGGGTGAGTCATGCGCTCTCTGCTTGCTCAGGCGATGCTCAGCAAACTCTCGAGCAACCCAACATGTGCGCATTGACATGAAATTATCTGTTGTATGACACCAAGAAATGCAAGCGACATGCCACGTTATATGATGGACTCGCCAAAAGCTACGAAATCTGGAAATTTCGGAAATACCACACACCCTACCTCCAAAATCCGAAAAAAAAATCTGGAAATCCTTAAGAAATTGTTAGGAAATCCGGAAAGTCTCAAGAAATTCTTTTGGATATCTGGAAATTGACAGAAATTCTAAGAAACCTAAAATCTCGCAAATGTTGAAGCAGTTGAAGGGTAGAGTGCTACGTTGACGCCTTGACCCTTTGTGCCTAGTTTCAAGCAATTTGATTGGCCTGTTGATTTTAGTACCTACCAGTACGTTTTCTTCTTCTTTTTGAAAAGCCAGCAGGCTTTTATCAAAATGAAGGAAAATATGTCGGAAAATGGTTACACAAGACAAGCAATAAGGCATTGTCTTAGTAAAGTATTATATCAGTTTGTAGCAGCACAGGATGTGAGTTAACTTTATTCCAGCAATTTTTCAGAAAGAGGATTGCTCCTTTTTAAAAGCTCAAATTCCGAAATACTTGAGGTTATTACAAGAAGAGAGTAGGCTTAAACGATACTTAAATAAGTCAATCCCGAGGTAAATCCATCATATCAAGACGAAAACTTCTTTATATATATATATATATATATATATATATATATATATATATATATATATATATATATATATATATATATATATATATATATATATATATATTATATATATATATAATATATATATATATATATATATATATATATATATATATACATATATATATATATATATATATATATATATATATATATAATATATATATATATATATATATATATATATATATACATATATATTATATATATATATATATATATATATATATATATATATATATATATATATATATATATATATATATATATATATATATATATATACATATATAATATATATATATATATATATATATATATATATATATATATATATATATATATATATATATATATATATATATATATATATATATATATATATATATATATATATATATATATATATATATATATATATATATATATATATATATATATATATATATATATATATATATATATATATATATATATATATATATATATATATATATATATATATATATATATATATATATATATATATATATAATATATATATATATATATATATATATATATATATATATATATATATATATATATATATATATATATATATATATACATATATATATATATATATATATATATATATATATATATATATATATATATATATATATATATATATATATATATATCTGCAGGGTTACAGTAACCTTAAGTAGTCATGTTGGTAAAGTAGTGCATTTCATGTGGAACCTGTAAGGTAACATTTAAAATGATTTAATGGGATTTAAACGCATTTGAAAACTAGAAAGCCCTCGACATCCGGATATCCCTGACAAATCTGTCGGAAATCGGAAATTCTGGTAAAAAAATTTGGGGGGGGGAGTTCGAAAATCCCGGAAATGGGTACTGAAATGCCCCTCTAGGCTAGATTGTGATTATGAGTCAGAAAGGCTGGTGATTGAGATGAGGGTAGGGAACTTATACTACTTGGGGAAAGAAAGAAAGAAAGAGAGAGAGAGAAATAACATAAACGTCACAGCAAAGACCACCTCAAGGGACCAAAGAAGAGTCTGGCATTGACGCTTTGGTTAACTGGGTGTACAGAATCCGGAAAAAAGTTAGCTTAGAATAATTTGGTAGATGGACTCGCTTGACTCGTCCAAGGTGCCAGAGTTCTAGGAATCGTGCTCAGTTATAAAGTATCAGTGTATTAAGTTAAAAGTCGATGTACATGCAACTTGCTTCAGTGCACCGACAGATTCAATATAATTCACTCAATCGGCCTACCTCCTTAACCGTCCTCTTTCTACTAATCTCTGCTCTTGTTCACTTACTCCCCTCTTTTCCCTCTTCATTACCATACTATCCTATAATGCTCTCTAATCTTTGACATCTAACACATTTTATCGTAATCTTTAACTCTTCTTTACCCTTTCTGACACAATACTTTACCATAGTACTATATGACCCCTGACGTCTAGCACACTTATTTGTTTCAAACATTAAACATTCAGATCTTACCATCCACACTGACAGTATGATGTAATTTATCTAATCTTTTTACATATCCTTTCGTCCCTTTGGTATCAAAAGAGGTATATGTTCTTACCATTACAATGTCTATTGTCTTCCTTTTGCCTTTGTCCTTCAACTGCTTCTACCTTTGCAAACCTTCTGAGTACTCTCTTTGGCCCAGCCAAGTGGGATCAGTTCTTTGTGATTCCCCCCCTCACAGCCCCCTATACTGAAAATACCCTTCACTTATACTCTGATCGTTCAGGCTTTGACACAGTTACATCTGAATTCCAAGCCCATGCACTATCTACCCTAAGTGAGCTCACTGGCAAACCCATTCCTGCCAAACCTCACCCTTCTCTTAATACTTGTACTGGAACTGTTTTTATCCCCCCAAATGCTTGTCCTGTCTACTATCAGGACTGGTCAGACTGTGAAAATGACCTACTTACCCGCCTTGCTGAATATGTTGCAGTGGCAAGATAGAGTTACACTATTCCTCCCAGAGGCCAGCATACGTCCCATGTCAATATTGCCAAGATAGCTTCCATAGACATGACCTCCCCCATGAGGCTGATATTGGCGGATTGTCCTACCATGTCCTACCATATCGACCCCTTCCTCATAAATGTCAGAATTGTTGGCATTTTGGCCACCCAGCCAAACATAGTCACTCAACAACCTGCTGCCCTCTATGTGCACAACCTGGTTATGACTGTTCAAATTGCCCTGCTCACTCACATACATGTGCCAATTGTGGAACCTCCTATAATGTATTTCATAGGAGCTGTCCTGCCTATAAGCTCGAGTGTGAGGTAGCAGGCCTCAGATTCAAAATAGCCTGTCTCAAACTAACGGCCATACATTACCCACTTAAGCAATATATATAAAAAGGGTTAAAAAAAGAACCAAGCTCTATCAAGGTTGAGTATATTTGGCAGTAGATGCTTCACTTAAAGGCAACTGCGAATGATTACTTTTATTACAAACTCCTGTCAGACATCGTCTACTGTCTACATTTCAAGACCAGGCTGTTGGAAGCATTTTAACACATTTGAACCATGAGGTGAATAATTCCAAACCATGGTCTCTCTCATGCCTCATGGAAAGGGTTATAATATTTACTTTCCTGTGTAAATACCTCAAGTTGATACACCATATATGCAAAACTTCATGTATAACCCAAATGGATTTTTTTCTTTTTCTTTTTTTTGCCCTGACATACAATGATGTTTTAAGAATTTTCTTTGGATTTTTTTTTTTTTTTTTTTTTACTTTTTTATTTTTTTATTCATTTTATTTTTTAATAAGTAAAACATTATGCATCTGATGTACACATGATTTCTAACTTCAAAATTAGTCTCATCACATTCTATATTCACCATATAATAAACACTACAGTATAGTATTTAATAGGGTAGTTTGTCATATACTGTAAGTTGACCACAGATTATATATTATAAGGTAATATCTTTTAAACATAATTGGGCATTTTTCTGAGAATTAACAAAAACAAAAGAAAATTCTATAAATGACATTCTTTAAATGTCACATGATCCCTTAATACTTAGAAAAAAAAATTCTCCAGATTGCCTTCAATTTGAGAAAAAAAAAGGAAATTCTTTATCCACAATGACACATACATGGTACAGTAAATTCATCAAACATTCAGTAAGTAAACATCAGATACAGGTAATTTCTGAACAAAGAAAATTAACTGAAATATCTAGTTTCTGTCTAACCCTTTGTGTCTCCCATTTCAAGCTCACACACTAGTCTTCTGAAAGTAAATCCAGACATTTGTGAAAAATAAAGATTTATTGCCTCTCATCCACCATGGCCAAATTTCAACACATTTCACATTAGGAACTATTTAAACCAATACATCCTACGAGTTAAGTACGTGTTTTGGATATATTGGTTCACGATAAGTACATTTTAAAAGGAGATGCAAATGGAAAACATATTTGATTGATATGGAATGAAAGACAAATTCAGAGTGGAAGGATGACAGACAGACAACCCTACTTTGATTCACCCATTCCTAGGCTATTTAACTTTTTATGTATATCACCAATATTCAAAATTGCTGACAAATATCTTTTGAAATACCAAGCAAAGAAGAATTTACCTTTCTTTTTACCACATACATCAGCAACAGGTATTAATAAAATTTGTATAACATACTATAATAAAATCACAGTAATATTACAGTAAAACCCTCAATAAAGATTATGTGATATTGATTTATCTTCCCCTTATCTTTATGAAGGTTCTTTCCTTAACATTTAATGAAATTAATATGAAATAATACAAATGCTATTAATTCACAGATTTTCCTTTCCAATAACATATTCTTACTTTTTCCTTTTACAACAAAGCAAAAATTTGACATCCAAATATACAGAACATACAACACAGACCTACAAGAACTGGTCAATAATCGGCAAAGCAAAACAGACAACATGACTTCTCCCATCTTCCAAGCAGTATTTCCTATGGCCTCAAACCAACTCTACCACCGTGGACTAAAACAAGCCTGAGTGTGAGTGTGAGTGTTTATGATGATATCATTGCAAGGACTTTAACAAATCAAATGCCTCCTTAATATATACTCATGCTTCCATTATTTCTTCTCTTACTTTGATGGTAAAGATGAAGGACAAAACAATGAAGCAAATAATATGAATATGGATCTGCAAAACAAAACAAAGAACTCACATCTTCAGAAGATACAAAAAAATGTTTTTGTCTGCAACAGCAAAACTTTATATCCACACATCTGTAACTGTGAAAATGTATTCATAATGGACAGATGAGTTCACTCTATTTTTTTACACAGACTGGTAATATGTGCTCAAAGTCAAGTCCAATAGTGATGTACAACATGCTGGAGGAAAAAGGGAGTACTATTTTATATTTTTGCATATGTGAAATACTGTCTCCTTTCTGTAGAAGTATCATGGTTTGTCAGAAGATGCATAATTATAAACCTTTTTAAGTATCTCTTAAATGTAAAAATATTCTGCAGACAAAATATCCTGTTGATGTATATACACAAAATTTCAAAATCAAAATCAAATCTTCCTGCAGTAAGAAAACACGAACATCACAAGTCAATATTGTTCTTTTGTAACTATCATCATCATATACAGAATGATGTACAAGTTTCAGTGAATTACATACCAAGCATTATCACTGTACTTTAAAATATCAAGTACATATTATACTATCTATCATTTCAGCCACTTTAGTAAACTTTTCTTATTCCTGCTTGAAAAGGAAAAATAAATGCAGAATCAAAGTTCAGCTTCATTAAAAGAGAACAGTTCCAGTTCTGTAAACCGAAATCATACAAACAAGCACAAACATTCTTTTCTCAATGATTTTCCTGTATATGTACATTTTTCAGGGATTCATTACCATCATTTTCCTCAAGCCATAAAATCTGAACCACAACTGAATAGTGGAGCTACAGAACTGCTCTTCTTCATTTGAACTGACTACATCAATTGAAAAGATAACATGTCAAAATATTTGTAAATGGTGCTAGCCTTGCTATGATTATGCTGCTTGGAGAGTGTCCCAAAACTCTGTGGATAACTGGCAATTTACAGGCATACAGATCAATTGTATGTTTACCACATCCAGACTTATCAAAAAGAACCAGATACTCCTACATTATACAAGGTAAAATGAGCAATATATTTCCTGTAGAATATTGTCAAACACTTTTTGCTGTTGTTGATGTTGAAAGCTTTATTCACTATATGAAATAGAGAAGGAGAAGCATACATCACATTCCTATTGCCTTGTTTGTAAATTACACAAAAGTGTAGCTTGTTGCCTTTGGAAAGGAAAGAAAAATTGTTAAACCTTACAGCATCCATCACATTTACAATCTCATAACAAATCCATATTCTTAGCATTGAGCATTTATTTTTTAATCTTTTACTGAATCAAAAATTATAAAGCGTGACTACCTGCAATTATAGTAGTAGTCCGTATCAAATTCAGTATTATAGAAACATACTAACTTGACATATTACCAATACTTCCACACATATACAAAAAAAATATATAGACATTCATACAACTGCTTAACATCTGTCTCTGCTTCTTGCTTAGCTATTAAGATGAAACTTGTCTCTCATGATAAAATCCACTGGTTTTCCACTCTACTAAAGCATAAACATCATGATAGTATTATCCTGATGTTATGAACTATAATGTTATAAAACTGACAAATTTTTCCAATTACTAAATCTTGCAAAATTACAAATTTACCCTGTATCAGTGATATTTCTCTTGCATCTTAAGACGATAATGCTTGTAATCTTTCAATATTAACAGCAATCCCTGAATTTTTACTTGTAAACTCTTGATATGCTTGGTGGAGAAACAAGTTAAATTTCCCTCGACTTAAGACTCATGGTTAAATCAACCAAAAATTCCTGCTCAATGTGTCTTTCAAGATTAAGCAATGACTCTCGGTTAAGCCAAAACTCCAGTTGGCCTATTGCAGAGCAGACTTTAAATCTATAAACATTTGTGATATGGCCACAACAAGACAGTGGTGTACTGGGCACTGATGATGATGACCCAGAATGGAAACCAGTCTAGCAGGTGCTGATCTTCCAATAATACCTTTATGGACACCATACAAGTTCCTGCAGAACACATGAGCTATCATAAGCATACTATACATTCTCCAAAGCTCTTCCAGACTTGCATTTACCTCATATATAATTTTCTGTACTGAACCATTACTCTATTTTGATATTTGTACTAACCTAACACATACCAAGATCATTGAAACAGGTAGAAAAGTGGTCAAGACACTTACACTCAAACTTTGAATGCACTACCAAGTTGGCATAACAAGCAACCAGGCAATTAAGAAAGTTCAGAAGACTGTAGTCCCATATTACTAACAGGATATAGTTTCCTCATCGTATTAGATATCAGAACTGTCACTTACAATACATACAAGGCTCAAGCTGCACATTTACATAAAATGAAAAAAAAGTCCCAATTTTCAAAGAATCAGAATAATGTACAAGACAAATAAATTTAGACATATTACCTGCTATGCTTAAAGCATCCAAGTTGTATCACATTATAAAATGCCTATCAAATTGAAAAAATCCAGTACCTATTAACTTCAAGCAATCAGCTCAAATGCAGTATGAAGACGTGAGCTACATTCTTTACTAATATATTGTGCTTTAAATAAAGCATAAATGCATGTGCAAAAACTTCACTACATGATTTCAGGGTCATTTTAAAGAAATAATCCTGATATACAAAGATGCTATGAAGAGGCACTATAAGTCATCATGGATCTTTCACCATGGCTAAAACAACTTACAAACTGCTTTCTTTTCTATAATTAAATATCAAATTCTCCATCTTGGGTCTCTGTTGTTCCCTATTGCTGTCACTGAACCTCTGCTTTGATCCTTTTCAGAGAAATGGTAATCACATTTGTTTAAAATCTATTTGACAGCAATTTATTTGGAAATGACTTAAACCAATTAATTCTGAAAAGAATCATTGCTAATTCTCCCTTTTCATTTATCTGCAACAGAGCCCATCACCAATTTCATAAGAAGTTTGTGTGGTCTACAGCATGCCCAGCATTATTTTTCAGTGAGGGAGAGCTCCAGGATGCGCTTTAGTGTTTCCTCCTCTTGCCTTTTACGAGCCTCCTCCTCCTCCTGTTGCTGTTGGGATAGCGACAAAGCCATGGCCATTTCTGAGTCCACGATGCTACCTCCAGGGGTTAAGGCCAGTCCACGTGGAACAGCTACCTCTGCATTCTCACTGCTACTTAAATCCTCCTGGGAACTTCTGATGTTTGTCACACCTATACTCAAGGCTAAGGATTCCTCAATGGCCCTGCAAAAAGTGGAGCAATTTTAGTGTCCATGCTTTTGTTTATACCCTCCTATGTTGGATGTCATAATATTATGTGTGCCAAAGGAAAGAATACTTTGGTTATGTTAAGTTCTAAGATTCCTGTCACAGTCACTATCACTTTTGACACTGATCTCTTAATCCTTTATGGAAAGAGTTGCTGTCAAAAGCACATTTCAAACTTCTTATGCTTAAGGTATGAATAATTATTATTTCTGGCAATAAATGACAACCATCTTCATTTTGGATGCTGGGGAACAGGAGACTGTCAGAATACTTCCATAGATAGTGTTTGCATTGGCTTTTTTCAGTGATGCCTTCAAATGAGTTCACCAATTATGCTTCAGCTCAAAAATAATAACTAAAAACCTTATAGGGGCATCTGTAATTATGAGCAGATATTTTGACCTCTATGCAGTGTACTTTCTCAAACCTTGAAGCAATTTGGTGAAAATGTTTTTCTTTTTATATTGTCCAATTTCATGCACAACAGATCTTCATAATATTTATACAATGACTTTTCCATTCTAAATAAAATGTCTTTTAATTTTATTATTATTTTTTTTTTTAAGAAGAGAGAGAGAGAGAGAGAGAGAGAGAGAGACAGAGAAGAGCGAGAGCGAGAGCGAGAGCGAGAGCGAGAGAAGAGAGAGAGAGAGAGAGAGAGAGAGACAGAGAGAGCGAGAGAGAGAGCGAGAGCGAGAGAGAGAGCGAGAAGAGCGAGAAGAGAGAGAGAGACAGAGAGAGCGAGAGCGAGAGCGAGAGCGAGAGCGAGAGCGAGAGAGAGAGAAGAGAGAGAGAGAGAGAGAGAGAGAGAGAGAGAGAGAGAGAGAGAGAGAGAGAGAGAGAGAGAGAGAGAGAGAGAGAGCGAGAGAGAGAGAGAGAGAGAGAGAGAGAGAGAGAGAGAGAGAGAGAGAGAGAGAGAGAGAGAGAGAGAGAGAGAGAGAGAGAGAGAGCGAGGCGCGAAGTGAGAGAGCGAGCGAGTGAGAGAGCGAGCGAGTGAGAGAGAGAGCGAGTGAGAGAGAGTAGAGAGAGAGAGAGAGAGAGACGAGAGAGAGAGAGAGAGAGAGAGAGAGAGAAGAGAGAGAGAGAGAAGAGAGAGAGAGAGAGGAGAGAGAGAGAAAAGACAGAGAGAGACAGAGAGAGAGAGAGAGAGAGAAAAGACAGAGACAGAGACAGAGACAGAGACAGAGACAAGACAGAGACACAGAGACAGAGACAGAGAGAGAGAGAGAGAGAGAGAGAGAGAGAGAGAGAGAGAGAGAGAGAGAGAGAGAGAGAGAGAGAGAGAGAGAGAGAGAGAGAGAGAGAGAGAGAGAGAGAGAGAGAGAAGAGAGAAGAGAGAGAGAGAGTAGAGAGAGAGAGAGAGAGAGAGAGAGAGAGAGAGAGAGGAGAGAGAGAGAGAGAGAGAGAGAGAGAGAGAGAGAGAGAGAAGAGAGAGAGAGAGAGAGAGAGAGAGAGAGAGAGAGAGAGAGAGAGAGACGAGAGAGAGAGAGAGAGAGAGAGAGAGAGAGAGAGAGAGAGTGGTGAGAGTGAGAGAGACGAGAGAGAGAGAGAGAAGTGTGAGAGTGAGAGAGTAGAGAGAGAGAGAGAAAGTGTGAGAGTGAGGGAGAGAGTGATGAGAGAGAGGAGAGTCGAAAGAGACGAGAGTGAGCAGAGAGAGAGAGAAGTTGAGGAGAGAGAGTGAGAGAGGACGAGTTCGAGAGAGAGAGGTGAAGAAATGAGAGAGTGAGAAGAGAGAGAGAGTGACCAGAGAGAGTAGAGAAGAGTGAGAGAGAGAGAGAGTGACTAGAGAAGAGTGCAACCGAGAAGAGTGACAGACTGAGAGTGACACGAGGAGAGAGATGAGTAGACGAGAGAGCAGAGAGAGTGACAAGAGAGAGAGAGGGAGGCAGAGAGAGAGAGAGAAGAGAGAGAGAGAGGAAGAGACAGAGAGAAGAGATGACGAGAAGAGAGGAAAGAGAGAGAGAGACAGAGAGAGAGGAGAAGAGGGAGAGAGAGAGAAGAAGAGAGAGAGAGAGAGAGAAGGTACGAAGAGAGATGAGAGAGAGAGAGAGAGAGAGAGGAGCAGAGAGAGAGAGAGAGAGATGAGAGAGAGAGATTTTCTACTCTTGTCACTCCCCTGTCTGGGCTAATGTGTCCACAATTCAATCTTCGCGTAAATGACAACAGAGCAATCTACCAGAGAGACAAAGAGACAGAGACAGAACAGACAGACAGACAGCAGACAAGACAGATCAGACAGAGAGAGTACAGAGAAATGAGAGAATAGACATAAAAAGGAAATTAGAGGAAGCAGCAAGAGGAACATGAGAGAAAGACAAGAACATTACGACGGGAAGACGACAGAGGAATGAGACGAAGACAAAGAACATAGAGAGGACCGAGAAATTAGGAGACAAAGAATCCCCCCGGAGGCCGAGATTGCAGAGAGAGAGAGAGAGGGAGAGAAGAGAGAGAAGAGAGAGAGGAGAAGAGAGAGAGAGAGAGAAGAGAGAGAAGAGAGGATGAGAGAGTAGAGAGAGACAGACAGACAGACAGACAACAGACAGAAAACAGTTAACAGACAGACAGACAGACAGACAGACACGACAGACAGACAGACAGAGATAGAGATAGGACAGGAGAGAGATAAGAGACAGAAGAGAGATAGAGACAGAGAGAGCTAGGAGAAGATATTTATTTATTAATTATTATATTGATATTATATATATTTATATATTAAGAGAGATTGAGAAGGGGAAGAGAGAGAGAGAGAGAGAGAGAGAAGAGAGAGGAGAGATGAGAGAGAAGACAGACAGACGACAGAACATACCAAGGACAGACAGAACAGATCAGACAAAGACGACCAGACAGACAGACAGACAGAACAGACAGACAGACAGTCAGCTCAGACAGACAGACAAGATAACAGAGAGAGACAGACACAGCAGACAACAAGATACAGATTACCACACAAGCACACACACACACACCCCACACACCAACAACACACACACACACCAGACCAGTGCACACATGGTCAAACACACAGTACAAGGGTACATGCGACGATGTGTTCGACCACACATACCGAGAAGACACACATTGGCAGTCGTACAGACTACCAGTCGGTGTGCTAGCAAGCATGTTTAACATATAATACATATCTCATAAGGCACTCATACTACCAAACAATAAAGCACACCCAGAGACAAAGACAGAAAGAGACAGAGAATGAGAGAGAGACAGAAATAAGAGAGACAGAGCAATGAGAAGGAGAGAGAGAGCATGAAGAGAGAGAGAGAAGAGAGAGAGAGAAGAGAGAGAATAGAGAGAAGAGAGAATGAAGACGAGAGAACGAGAGAGAGACGAGCAAGATAGAGAAGAGAGAGAGACACACTAGACAGACAGAACAGACAGACAGACCACACAGGCAGACAGACAGACATTGACAGGACAGACGAGACAGACAGACAGAACGAGACATGAGAGCACAGACAAGATAACAGAGACACACAGACAGAGAACAACCGCAGAGAGAGAACATACGCAGTAGAGAGGATGACACGCATCGAGAGAAGACACGGCCAGAGAGAGAAACCACGGGGAGTAGCAGGAGCGTAGCAGAGAGAGACACCACGAAGAGAGACACGGCAGAAGAGAGAACAAAGAGAGAAAGAAACAGAGAAGACAGAAGAGACAGAGACACAGAAGAAAAGTAGAGAACAGAGAACAACCCGAGAGAGAAAGAGGAGAGAGAAGAAGGAGAGAGAGAAGAGAGGAGAGAGAGAGAGAAGAGAAAGAGAGAGAAGCGGAGGAGGAGGAGAGAAGAAGAGAAGAGAGAGAAAAGAAGAGAGAGAGAGAAAGAAGAGAGAGAGAAAGAGAGAAGAGAGAGGAAGAGAGAGAAGAGAGAGAGAGAGAGAGGAAAGAGGAGAGAGACAAGTTTGAGAGAAGAAGAGAGAACAGAGAGGAGAAGAGACAGAGAGACAGAGAGAGAGAGAGAGACAGAGAGAGAGATGCAGAGAGAGGATGACAAGAGAGGGGAACGAGAGAAGAGAGACCGAGAAGATGCAGAAGAGAGATTTAGAGAGTGAGACAGAGAGAGAGAGAGGAGACAGAGAGAGAGAGAGAGACAGAGAGAGAGAAAGAGACAGAGAGGATTAGAGACAGAGAGAGAAGAGAGAGACAGAGACAAGAGAGACAGAGACAGTGAAAGAGAGACAGAGAGACAGTCAAGAGAGAGACAGAGAGAGACAGACAAAGAGAGAGACAGAGACAGAGAGACAGAGAGACAGAGACAGAGACAGAGAGAGAAAGATTAGAAAGATCAAAGATAGAGAGAGAGAGAGAGAGAAAAAAAAACAGAGATATAACAAGAGATAGACAGATGAAACAGAGACAGAGGCAGAGGCAAAGACAAGACAGAGACTAAGGTAAGACAGGTGACAGAGCTGTATAGAGACAGATAGACAGACAAACAGAGAAAGAGAAAGACAGATGAGACAGAGACATAGGCAGAGACAGAGAAAGAGACAGACAGACAGACAAAGACAGAGGAAAAGACAGACAGATGAAAATCTAGGCAGACAGGCTAGTAGACTGACAGACAGAAAGAGAGATATAACAGCAGACACAAACATAGACAAACAGATACATACAGATATATATGTGGTGGGCACTGTGTTACCCATCCGGGCACCTCAGAATCTCTAACCATGCATCCCATGTAAAGCCATGGTCACACTACTCCCATGTATAAAGGGGTCCAAGACATGGGGTATTTGTCTCCTGCCCTAGCTGTCCATTACGGCCGATCCTACCCCGTAACTAGGGACGGGGAAAGGACCACCATGTAAGCCTTTGCCTCTCAATATTCACTGATCTTGCTAATCAAAGTAAAAACTATGAAACAACCATCACCAATTAATTCATAGATTACTAATACACAACTATAAATGTTTTCTCTGATTCATTTTGCATGAATGGAACTTAATTGGTAAACGAAAGGAAACATTTCACCATCAACACAAAGTTCAAGCATGGACCTTCCTTCAGAAATAATTTATTCCCTTATTGATAATATTAAGCCATATGAGGTATTATGGAATACAAACCACAATAACTACAAGAGCAGGATGCTGAAAAGGATGAAGATGGCTAATAATAACAGACTTCTATAACAGTAATATCTATATTATTACACACATTTCGGTCTTTCTTGTCAAACTACTGTCTAACCCACAATTGTGTTGGCTGCTTCATTCTACCCTCTGCACTTCCCAGGAAAAAGAAGGAAAGAAAAAAATATAGTATAGCCCCTTGAGATCACCGTGCTTACATAGCACAGGACAGGTGGTGTCCCACAGAATAGTGCGAACAGCTATTTTGTATCATGGGACTAGTACATGGGACAGGGTACTGGTTCAGCAGGGGACCAGCTTGTATGAAAGAGCATTGTGATCATAGCTTAACATATTCCTTAACCCTCCTATGAGTTAAAATTGGCAAGTTGTGTACCAGGTCATTCTTGGTATCTGTCACTACTGATGCTCCTCCCAACAGAAACAGATGCCCTCCAGCCTGTCTAAGTTAGGACCCCTTCCTCATGCACTTAATAAACTCTCTGAACGATAACATCCCATGCCAGTCATAACTGTTACCTCAAGCCTCCTACAGACTATTTACTCTCTCCTCACTACCATCAATCTCGCTATTCACTTGCAGTCACCCACTTTCATGGTAAACATTTATAAACACATAATTAGTAGTGCATGTGGTGAGAGGAACACACATTTGGATCAATAAGATCTGGTATCCAGTCATTTATATAACTAGATATGTCATATTACAAATTAAGAAAATCTATGTACACATACTAGGCTTAAAATCTGAGCCACTTTTTTAGTATAGTAATGATTCTTATCAATCATTCATTATCAAAAATCAACAATTTTCAATTAAATACAATTATAATCCCTCAGTACTGTGACAAGAGCTTATTTCAAATTATTGACTTGGATTTTGACTTCAAGTTTACCTGCCAGATGAAAAATATTAATGGGGCACACTAATGACTCACCTCTGCAACTGCGCATCCTCTACTGCTTGTAGTGACAAGTGTGCGGGAGTATTTGGGGTTGACCCTGATCTGGAGTTACACCTGGAATATCCAAGAGACAATATGAAAATGTAAAATATACATATCTATCTATCTATCTATTAATCTATATACGAGGGGGCTTCAAAAAGATTGTGGAAAAAATCCATAACTAAAAATTGTTTGGAAGATTTTTTATTTCAATGCACCTGAACATTCTTGTACCAACATGTTATAACATGTTCAAACATGAACCCTTTAATACAGGTAAGACTGCATTGCTGCCAGTTGAAAGTCAGGCACCATTCAAGCAACATCTACTAAGTTCTACTCAGACTGACTTAAAGGCTGTTATCAACGTTTCCAGAAGTGTATCGACCTTAATGGAGCATATGATGAAAAATAAACATCATAACTGAAATCGTTTTTTCATACTATCCTTCTTCCACAAAGTTTTTGAAGCCCCTTCATATGTATGTATGTATGTTTGTATGGATGGATGGATGGATGGATGGATGGATGGATGGATGGATGGATGGATGGATGGATGGATGGATGGATGGATGGATGGATGGATGGATGGATGGATGGATGGATGGATGGATGGATGGATGGATGGATGGATGGATGGATGTCAATGTTATGAACAAAGACTACAATTTGGGTGAGGCAGAAAATATTTTTTCCTTTAAGCTTATGTATTATTCATTGGTGATCAACAATTATTCAATGGTCTCAACTGTTTTCCATAATTTGGTGTTTCTTTGATTTGTGATGTACTTAAAGTAGCAATGAGTAAAAATACTTGATATGTGCTATGATCCCATATGATTTATATATACACCTCTATATTTTCCATTAGAAAGTCAGAAAGGATTCACTTATTTCTTTAAACAAATTATCTGTAAGGTATCACAACTTTTAATAGAATTGTTCAATTATCCATTTCGCATATCATGTATGGTCATGTACCATAATGGAGTTTTTAGCTAAGAATTACATCTTTCCAATAACATTATCAATATCAGTATTGTTAAAAAAAAAAAGTAATTGACAAGAATACAAAAAAGAGCTACATAAGCTAAAGAAAATAAGAGTTATTGAAAACAAATTTACCCCACAAAACCAATGTTCACAAAAATATCAGAATGTATTATTTCTCTTTAAAGTTTAATTCAATATCTTTGTCTTTCTAGTAGTAATACGAGATCTTAAATTGGTTACAAGCCTAGAACTACAAATCCAATCTCCCCCCCTCATCATCATTCCTGGAGAACTCACCCTGGCACTCTTGGAGCGGGTCGATGCTCGGCCTGCAGCGCTTCCCAGATGTCTACCTGGTCCTGCTCGGTACCAGCCTCTACCAAGGACTGCTGGATAGCATACTGGAGCAAGGCATCGTCCTCGTCCATGCTCATCTGCAGGTGCTGCTGGTCTGAGTGACCTGTCAAGGGCAAGGAAAACAAATTTTCTTTAGCACGTATGTGTCGTTAAGTCACATTGACATTCAGATCTGTTGACATGGTAAACACAACATTATTTCAGTCATGGGATGGAAATGGTACAATTTGCTTGTACCAAAGAATATTTTCTAAATGATTACTAATGTATTTTAGCATGTCAAATTTTATGGTCATCAAATCCAAAATAAAACACGAGACACAAGATTCTTAAAATCTATAATTGCCAGTAAAAAAAAAATAACAAATCCAAGATTTTCAAAAATAAATATGACAATATATATACGAAGCACATGTAAGTAAAGAAATTCTAAAGAAAAAAAATATAAATCTCCTTTCAGGTACAGAATAATAACCATGCATCACTATCTCCTTTCTTCTTTGTTTAACTTCATTGACTTTTTTCCCAAATGAAGCAGAACTCAGATGCAAATTTTCATGGAGACTTGAAAATCTGGACTGGAAACATTAATCCAAAACAGAATGAATATAAAATTTCCTCTGCTGAAAGTATTTAATTTCTGAATAAGCCTGCCAGTCACAGTTCAGGACAGAGTAGTGCAAAGCAAGTTCCGAATCAACAAAGGGAAGTCCATGGTATGGAAATCCTAGAAGCTAAAAAGAATGATTTTCAGAACAGATTTAGACCAAACTCTTAGCTGTTTGACAAAAATTGTGTCCTATATGAATTTTCAAAATCAAATTTCAATAACCTGAGAAAAAAATGCAATCCCTCCTGCATGCATAAATTAGAACATAACAATTCATTTGAACAAAGTAGAAAAAATCAAAAATATTAAAAACTTCTTCTCCTGGATAATAAAATTTGAGAATTAATTTTTCTTAAGTTCAAAAGTCCTGAATAAACCAAGACCAAAATTACCAAGGGTATAATTTGTCCTATTAGCAGTAATGACCAAAAGAAAGAAAGAAAGAAAGAAAAAAACAGGTTTGGGGCATTTTTTACCTGTATACTTCCCAAAAGGTGTTCACATTGAAAAATAAAGATATCTATCCTAGTTCTAAATCCTAATTCATTTGCTGTAATAACTATAATACTTTTTATCAAGATAAAGTTATCACACAAAACATACAATCTATTCTCATGGGGTGCCACATTATTCAATCTTTATCACAATCTTTTTCCTATATGACCACACATGACCTCAACAGAAATATAGACTTGTAAATCAAATTCATCAAATGTTTACTGTACATCACACTTTGCCTGGACATGACCATGTTACCTAAAATAAGTAAATGAATGTTGCTAGGTCATCTTATAACACTAACCTAAAGAGAGTCAGACAGTGTACGATGCTACAAATGCTTAACAGTCAAGATAGGCCTATAGTAATTCTAAAGAAAGATGGACCCCTTGAGAATGACAAATGTCGAATGTTATTGTCTCAGTCCTATCCAATTCATCCATTCCAATAAATACCTCCTAAAGTGTTCATCGTGGCAAGGTTGGTGAGCAAAGTGATAACCATTTCTGGGATGCTAAAAGCCCCATCCCAAAGAAAATTTTTGAAAAATGAGCTACTCTGGGAGCATTTTTAAGCTGCAATCAAAGCTAAAAAGGTGTAATTTAGGTAAAATAATCAAGCTAGACCTTGAGGAGGCAATCAGAGTCTTGGGGGACAATTGTCCCTCCCCCCCCAAATGATGTCCCTGGTGTTCAACGCTGCCCAGAAAACCGATTTCTCATACTACGGTCTAAGAATGACAAATGATAATAATGAGAAACTATATCACAGGCTTTTTGTTTATGCCAATTTAAACTAAGCTTGAGTTATTTCCTTTATAACTCCTGTAGTAAGATGAAATAAAAGATTATAAAGAATTTCTAAAAATCCTTCAGTTTTTTATTCAATGGAAATATCACCAGAAAATATATTTTCAAAAATATCCTAAAGCCCCTGTTGTGCCCATATTCTTTCTGTATAATTTTTCTTCCTTTCAAAACCTTGTAAGTTTGTATGTAAAATAAAGCGACAAAACACACTGTCACCCAAGTCAGATCCATAATGCCTAGTGCCACTGGATTTTGATTTGAGCTGGCAAAGCCCTGACCTAGGCTGTTTGTTCTTTTTGCTCGTGAGACTACAACAAATGGAAGGCCAACTCCACATTGACAAAAATGTTACATACAACCAACAATACAGAGTTGAAAGTGAAATATTAGATATCTTTAGGTATTTGTTTTATTGAGACTGAAAGGAACTTGTAGCTGTCCATAAAATAATAACTATCAAAAATTTACAGAACTTTAAAATGTGTATACTTCCAACAAATCAAATAACTATGTAAAAGTGTTGGCAACTCATAAGGTGCAAAAGGCTTCCACCAACTCACCTATTTTTGTGTAGCTTGGCGGTGGCTCGAAGACAGTCTCATCTATTACACAAGTTACTCTATCTTCTTCCTTTACTGTTGACACCTTATCAACACTTTCATCTACTCCAAAAATATTTCCGAAGGTAATTCTTGCTGTCAGAACATGGAAGAGTGGGATTTCTGAAAAAGAATTTTGTTAAAATGAAGATCTCTTGGAAAATGCTGAGAGAAAAAAATATATATATAAATTACATATAAATACATATCTATCCATCTATCTATTTATATATATATATATATATATATATAGATAGAGAGAGAGAGAAGAGGAGAGAGAGAGAGAGAGAGAGAGAGAGAGAGAGAGAGAGAGAGAGAGAGAGAGAGAGGAGAGAGAGAGAGAGAGAGAGAGAGAGAAGAGAGAGAGAGAGAGAGAGAGAGAGAGAGAGAGAGAGAGAGAGAGAGAGAGAGAGAGAGAGAGAGAGAGAGAGAGAGAGAGAGAGAGAGAGAGAGATAGAGAGATATCATGGGAAAATCTGGCTTGAATTTGCCTTCAATGAGTATTTCAGATAAAGGCTAAGGTGGCAGGAAAGACTTGCCACAAGTACACAAAGTTCTTAGATGGTCATTAGACTCATTTGGCCTTTAGGAAGGGGCTTTTGAATTATTTCCATCAATAAACGAGCATGAAATATACTGTCTGTGAACCATGAGTGGAAGGGCTCTGGCTCCAGGAAGGATGATATTTCCACACTCAGGATACTATTCCTTACCATGCAGGTTGTACTACAGAAAATTTAATATTATGATAAAAATTAAACAATACAACAAAATGCTGCATATTATTATTATCATTATTGCACTGAGTTCATGTACTACCTGGAGAGAGGATGCAGAGTAAGTGCAAGGAAAACAAGTCTATTACCATCTGGATAAAGAAAAGATAGAAGAAAAAAACAGATTCCTTTTTCTTGTCCACACACCTATTTTACAAGGAAGAGAAATATCCTACTCCTAATCAACCCAACAAGGAATGAGTTCTCTAATTCACTAACTGTTCTTAGAATAATCATGATCTCCTTTAAAACAAATCAGTCACAAATCTCCACTACCAACCCTTCACAGCCTAATATAACCATCAATCTCAATTACCAAATACTTCAACCAATCAACTACCTAATGCATCCAGCAGTTCTTACTAACCAATCCACACACCAAGCACAAGCAAACCTGTTTAATCGAAATAAAGTGTCCTCCATGAAGCCAGCCTTTTCACGCCATAGCTCATGGATGGTACATTCCACCCTCATTTACCAGTGAAAAAAAACAAAGCCTTTCCTATATGCTCAAGCCAACATTTTTAAGACAGAATATTCCCGTCATCCTGAACCTCAGACAATTTTTTTTCCAAAAGGGAATATTCCCATCACCCAGCCCTCAGCCAAATCTTTGTTACATGATGGTCACTTCACTCAAATTCATTGGGTTAATTTTTTAGGTTTTATCCCCCATCACCATCAATCTCCCCTGTCTAATTCACCCATCTAATTTTTGCTGTCCAATTTACCCACCAATCTTGACAGGGAAGCCACTTGGGAGTTGCATCTGGATGAAGTGCTTCAGCTTAGCAAAGTGAGTTGACGTGATGGCCATGAGGTCCACAATGGGCATGACCTGTTCCTGGAGCTTCAGTGGATATTCCTCAGCTAGCCACAAGTGAGCCTGTTTGGGGGAGGGAGGGATGGCGGGATTAGACTTTCTGATTCGGCTTCTCTTCTGATGGCACGCTTGTAAAAATTGAACAGACATGCATATTATTGATCACAGAAAAAATTTATCACTTAATAATTCATAACCATCACATCTGCCCTTAAAAAGAAAGAAAAAATTAAATGCAAGAAGAAATGAAAAGATATGATAAATACAACGAAAAGATTATGGATAGGGAACTTAAAACAATTTAACATAATGTTGGATAAAAAAAAAAACTAAAGTTCATCACACATCTTTGATTGTGCAAAAATTGTGCACATTTACTAATTATGACCACAAAAAACAATTATTTAGCATCATAAAATTACATATCAAAACCATATGAAATTATATATGTATAAGCATTTACTGACCTTGAAGTTTTGTACCTTCTTGACAACCTCTTTGGGACGACCAATATCCCTGCCTTGAAGATCAACATTTGGATTGAAATATTCCTCGGCAGTGATATTAGTTGGGTTGTTAAAGTTGTAGGTTTCACTCTGGAATTTAGGCAAAACAAAATGAGCAGTAATTCTAATATAACATGGTAATGAATAAATCATTTTCATAAAAAGAGTAACAAACTTTGTACAAAGAGTATAAAAGACAGAGATGAAATAATGCAATGTATGCACTATTTTTCAAAATGAAATGCTCATATACATTTCACCAACCTTATCAAATAAGACCCTAAGGCACATAAAATGAGTGAAGACTTGGTACAAACCCCTTCAGAAGATGAAGGTGAATTCTGTTTCTCTTCCACCTCTGCAATATTGAGGAATGATTGTAAAGGACTCCGAGGGAGCGACTTCTCCTTCTCTGCATCTGTTAGGTGCTCTGTCCGGGTCTTGGTGACGAGTTCTACATTTGTTGCAGAAAATACCTGTCAAATTAACACTAGTTTTAGAAAGAAACAAACACAGATAAATAATGGTAGAGTATACACTAAGCAAAATAGAAAAGAGAGTGGCATTTTTTCTCACCTTACAATCGTGGCCATTAACATTCTCTGTCCTGTCACTCCTCCATCCCCATATCCCAGCTTTATCT